TTTCTCTGCTCAAGGACAGGCGGGTGATAGGGGAGGTGTGAGCCCGGTAATCTATGGCACTGCCCCACTTCTGCACCACCCAGAACCCCTCCTCAGGGGTGAAGCCAGCCTCCCCATCCCTCTGCACAGACTCCCTAGCCACCCCCACAGCCCAGTCTGCAGTGAGCCCTCCCTCCACCTTCACCAACCAGGAATGTTTCCCCGAGGTGAAGCCCTCAGAGCCCAGCACACAGAGCACATCATGAAATCTCCGTGGATTGTGAGGCACCATCTGGCTCTTTTCTCCCCGGCTCACGCTTCTTCCGTCAGCAGACAGGACGAGCTCAGGATGTGCTGTGGCTGGATCCAGAGACAAATTCACTGGGGAGAGATGGAATGGGAGTGTTTAGAGGCAGACACGGGTCAATGACAGAGCAAAAGAGTCACCTGGGCCAGAGCTGAGACGCAAAATGTTCCCCCTGCACTCACCTGATTACGAGCCAAGCAGTGTGACCCCTCGGTGCTGCTCTTTGTATTAGCTAACGAGCTACCCAGAGAGCGAGATTACATGGCAAAACTTCATTGACCCCGCGATAAGGTGCCTGGGGATACCTGGTGCCCCACAAGAAAGCCGAGTTCAGCAACACTGAACTGTGTGAATGCCGGGAGGTAGCAAGTTCAGGTAAATGCCCTCACAGCTTTAACTCTGCCCCCTGGAGCTGGGAATAGCCCCTGGGAATTAGCTGCCTGCGCTGCACAGTGCTAGGTCTCGCTGTACTGATGGGTGGAGGGTTATGTTGGTGTAGGGTGGGTGGAGATTGCATCGGGCAGGTGTGAGGAGCTGTTCTGTTAAAGCACAAAGACAGTGTGTCTGTGTTATGGGTGCCCTGGGGCATCGCTCAAGGGGGGCAGAGTTAAGGTTGTCTGGGCATTTCCCTTCGCTTGGTGTTTCCTTGTTTTCACAGAGGTGAGTGTTGCTGCCCTTGATGCTCTGGAAGGATGCGTGTTGTCCCCAGGCAGCCTCAGCCCAGGGTTAATGATGTTTTCTGACATTTGATTTCCAAGATGTTTTTCAGCAGAAGGAGAATTGTTGGTGGGACAATCCCCACGTATTCACCTCCCCATAATGTCCCCTCCCCTGGCTGATCCCCCAAACACTCTCCCCTATTCCCCTGCCCCAGCCCCTCCCCTCCAACCAAACATTCATGGGACCATTTCTTCCCCAAAACAACAAGAAAAGATTTCCTGTCACTCGGGCTCCTCTTGGCGCTGATTGGCAGAGGGCCCAGAGGCACATGAGGGTTGCAGGGCTCTCCTGGATCTGTTCTTTGCATTCTGGTTCACAGACAGTGTCCCGCGAGGTCCCTGCGGAAAGCCTGTGGCACGCTGGTTGCTGGAATCGCTGTGGGATGGGAATGTGGCTGAGAGGTCGGGGAAGCGTGGGTACCCTCACAGTCATGTCACTGTCTCCAGTGTTCTGCTGCCTTCATGTCAATCCACGTCCCATGTTGAATCCAGGCCGACATGCTTTCTCCGGAGACTGATCTCAGTGCTGCGTTAAGCAGAGCTGGGTTCCACCTATGGGCTGCTGGTTTTCGCCCGTTGGGAATGTGTCTCTGCTCATTCCCCAGGTGTCCAGCGGAGCAGGGACTGGACACTGCAAGTCGATGCTCAGGGGACTGGAGCATGGGGAGGCATAAGGATCTTGTGCAAAAAGGATTTTTGCGCAAAACAGACCCATCCACACTGCTTGGTTTTGCACAAAAACCCCTTGCGCAAAAACAGACCGGAAGAGATTATGCAAATGAAGCATGAGAAAATGCTAATCTGCGCTTCATTTGCATTGCCTCTTCCAGCAAAACTCATAGTGTAGAGTTAGCCCAATTGAGGATCCCTACGAGCAAGAGGAGAGATGGCTCAGACTCAGCGTATGGGGCAGTGTTGATGATCAGAGGCACAAACTGAGACTTTGGTGAAATACATCTCAGATTATGGCAGCTCTCAGTCTCTTCTTAATGTGTTTGTGTGGACTGAACTGTTCACATTTTACTTTTAGTTTTTCTTATGGTTACTGTAACCGTGAACAATATCCGTGGGTTATAAATAGCTGTGTTCTGTTATGAGAATTAGATTATTTGTTTCTTTATAAGATTTTATAAAGTTATTTAATTCAATTAATTTCTTCCGTTTCTTTTGGAATGTGAAGGTAGGGAGGCTGGCACTGGCAGTCCTTGCTGAAATTCCTTACAGCAAGTGAAACTCTGTCTCCACTACTGCTGTGGGAGGGGGGTTATTTTCCGCACTGGAGAAGGGCAGGGAAGTCTAGCCCATGTAAGGTTACGGGCTAAATCTGCCCGTAACCACTTACCGGGGCTGCCGACAAAGGGCTTTGATGTCGACAGGGGGAACGTCCAGACTAGCGCGCGAGCCAACAAACAGCTGATCAGCTGTTTGTCGGCTCAGCGCGGCAGCCATGTAAATGTAAATGAAGCCGAGATCATTTAAATCGTGGCTTCATTTGACTTTGCCTATGTATCTAATCTACATGCCTCTGCTGACAGAGGCATGTAGTCTAGACACAGCCACAGTGATCACAAAGTTCCTGATACAGGCTCTTAGCAGAGATGAACTAAACTGCTATCTTACACGTCTCTGGAATTCATCCTATGTTAGGGTGGGACAACTATCCTTCCCGGCCCTTTGTTCATACCAAAAAGGCTTCCTCGTTGGGCATAACAACTAAGTGAAAGAAGCACTGGGAGATAAAAAGGCATTGTTTAAAAAGTGGAAGTTTAATCCTAGTAAGGTAAATAAAAATGAGCATAAACTTTGTGAATGAAGAATAAAAATACAATTCAGAAGGCCAAAAAGGAAGTTGAAGAACAGCTATACAAAAGCTCATAAAGTAATTGAAAACATGTTTTAAGTACATCAGAAGCTGGAAGCCTGCTAAAAACTAGTGAGGCTCTGAATGATCGAGTTGCTAAAGGAGCCCTCATAGGAACATAAAAATGGCCATAAAGGGTCAAACCAAAGGTCCATCAATCCTGTCTTCCAACAGTGGCCAATGCCAGAAGCCCCAGCGACAATGAACAAAACAGGGAATTATCATGTGATCACTTTCCTGTCACCCATTTCCATGAAGCTCTGACAAACATAGGCTAGGGACCCCCTCCCTACCCATCCTGGCTAATAGCCACTGATGGATCTGAACCACTCTTCTTAGATGACAAATCTGAGGAATTGTCCCAGATTGAGGTGTCATTAGAGGAGATTTTGGAACAAATTGATAAAGGTAACAGTAACAAGTCACGGGAGCAGACGGCATTCACTCATGCGTTCTGAAAGGACTCAAAAGGGAAAGAATAGCATTTTCAGTCACACAGAGGAATGTAATTTGTGGGGAAAAGACAACATGGGTTCTGTAAAGGGAAATCATAGCTTACGAATCCACTAGAGTTCTTTGAGAGTGTCATCAGTTATGTGGACAAGAGAAATTTGCACTTTGAAAACTATAAACCAGTGGTAACCAGCCACTAGATAAGGACCCTACAAGTAGATCTTGTAGCCTCTGACAGGGGATCCTGACTAGTTTGGCCATGAAGCTCTCAAGTGCTCCAGCACCCAAAAGCCATCTAAGTTAAACAGTGCCCAGCCAGAGTCTGCTTCCTGAATCCCTGTCCCAACCCTGAACCCAAACTCCTTCCCACCGCTTGCACCCTGAATCCCCTCCTGGACCCCAATCTCTCACCCTGGACTAAGCCCAGAGCTCCTCCCCGACACAAAACCCCATGGCCCAAGACCAGAACCTGCTCCCCTGCAAGTGAGTGAGGATTGGAGGGGAAAGGAGGAGCAGGGTGAGGCCTTGGAGAAGGGGTGGAGCCTGGGCGGGGCCTCAAAGAAGAGGTGGGAAGGAAGCTAGGAAAGGGGATTTGGAGCCTCAAAGAAGAGGCGGGAAGGAAGCTGGGAAAGGGGATTTGGATTGAGGTAGAACTTACATTGCACTTCAATTGAAAAAGTGATCTTGTGCTTAAAAAGGTTGGAGACCCCTGCCATAAACCATTCCCCACTCCATATACCTAACACTACACAGAAGAATGATACACACACCAAAATAAGATCTACAGATCCAGAGGATCATGACATGAAGACTGACATTAAATGAGGTAGTTTGTCTCAAGGAAGTGCGAGTTATGCATATCTCTGTCCATGAGTCCATTTCATAAAGCGCTGGGTGGTGTTCATCACAATTCCCACATTATCCATCTCGGATCCCTCAGTTTCCTTCCAATTATAAATACAGTTTTACCTAAATTAGTTACCCAGGGCTCTGTGCTAGGAAAGGCAGGGGGAGAATGTGCCAATATATTTAAATGTTACCTTTCTTTAGCGTTGAGATGCGAATCTCCTCACTTGGGTCACTCTCAGCCCCGTCCGCACACACGGCCGACACCCGGAATCTGTAGGGCGTCTGTGGCATCAGTCCATCAATGGTGCAGGACTCGGTTCTCTTTCCCGTCTTTCGTTCCAGCCATTTGGCTTCGCCAGCATCCTCTCTGTATTGCACCTTGTACTCACTTATACTGACTCCATCTCCAATGGCATGTGGACTCTCCCAGCTCAGGGCAATGGCTGATGAAGCTCTAGCAGCTGCTACAGGATTCCCAGGGGGGCTCGTAAGAGGAAGCGTCTTCACCGTGTCGCTCACGTCGCTGCTCTCGCTGAGCCCTGGTTTGCTCACGGCCGCGTATCGGAACTGGTACTGGGTGTTTGGACGGAGCCCTGTGACTGTGAGTGTCTCTTGTGTGTTACTGACATTCACAGCCACCCAGTCCTCCTGCCCGACAAGTCTGTACTCTGCCCGGTAGCCGCATATCTCAGCCTTGCCATAGGTTGCCGGTTTCAGCGTGAGCTGCACACGGTCATGTCTGACTTCATCAATCAGAAGAGGAAGAGGCTTTGATGGGGGCTGGAAGTCACTGTTGACCAGTTCTCCATTCTCATACAAGTAAATGAAAGCACCTGGATTGGCCTCGTCTGGAACAGAGGTCACAATGAACCGGGCTGTCCCATTAGATTTATTGGCACGGGCAAAATGTGAAAAGCACTTTGCAGCTTTTCGAGCTTTTTTATATATTTCCTTGTCCTCAAACCAGGCTTTGGATTTTGATTCCTTACTCTCAGAACTGGCTGCAGGATCTTGAGTGTCCTTTGTAGACTGGGTCCGAAGCCAGAGATGTAAATCTGCTAAATATGGCTCCTCATTGTGTAAGGAAGTGAATGTAAAAGAAACGACAAAGTCAAGGTCACCATCAAGCCCAGAGTTGAGCACTATTTTCTCTAGTTCACTCTGAGAGGGCACCACTTCTATATTTTTTAGGACACTAAGGTAGGAATTCACATAATTCATCTCTCGCTCCTTTGTGTCCAGGAATTCGTTGAGTTTCTGCATGTTGAACAGTGACAAGTTTTTGCGTGTCAGAATGTCCACCAGGGCCCCTTCCTCTTTTCCTCCTCCACGGATGGACGGTAAGAGTCCTGCCAGCTCTTTCTGGAAAGTCTGTCTGTGTTGCTTACAGACATCTTTGAACTTTTGGATTTTCTTCTGGATTTCAGGGAAGGTTCTGGCAATTGGATTCTTCCCCATGTCGTTGCATCGCATGTTCAGTTCTGCCAGGTCCTCCATTGCAGTCTGAGCATCAGAAATCAGCGTTAAGCTGATCTCACGCACCAGCTGAGCAGCTCTGGAATCCAGCTTGGTCAGCGGGTACAGCCAGACTCTCATGGGTACGGCCTTCTCCCCGTTCTCACCCAGCAGCGTTGGGAGGGTGGAATATGTTTTTATGGCATCTTGGAAATTAGTTGGATTATTCTCAAGAGCAAAATCACCATGGAACTTGCAGTTAAATTTGTCCGCATTTAATTTTTCTTTTTCATCAATTTTGACAGACCCTTCTCCTTCCACAGAAAATGTGGGTAACTTTTTAATTGCAATCTGAAGTGTTCCCTCAATCTCGCGGACATTCTCAGAAGAAGAAACTTCTCGATCGAACACGAAGAAAGCCTGGGCGCCGTACAGCACAGCCGTGACCACGTGGGTGGCCGTGCCTTGGTCAAACACAGCAGGATAATAGACATTCCCTGCTCCTAATTGGCTCATGGTTAGGTGCTCAAACCTTGTTGTGGCCGAATACCGGAGAGTGACTCGGGCCTGTTGTTTGGATGTTTTGGTGTCATTTAAGTATTTGGCAGATCCGCCTACTTCAACCAAGCCCCCCAGGAAGCTGGCCTTGAGCGATGCCGTGACATTGAGGGCGTTGGCCTTGTCCTCAATGGTGTCAGATGCGATGATCTCAAATTCAGTCCTGGGTTGTGGTTTTGTGTTTACATTCATGCGAAGCTCTTCCAGGCCCCACAGCGTGGTTTTGTGTTTACATCCATGCGAAGCCGTTCCAGGCCCCACAGTGTGATCCCTGCAATGTGAGAGAGAAGCACACGGTAACGTAGCTGACGGGATACACAGCACACAGCGTCTATGGAGGGTTTAATCTTGTGCTATTTCTGAGATTGAAAAATAACGGGTGTGATGTCATGAATCATGGGTGGTGTAAGTGGTTGGCATGAGTGAATTAACAGTAAATGAGCTGAAGAGAGGCCATACTAAGGTTCAAGTCAGTGCCCCCAGAGGATTATGGACTTGCTTACAACTTTGATAGAAAGGACTGTGTGAAAGAAGAGACTTTGTGTGCTGAAGAGACAAAAAGGTGCAGAAGGAGGCAACGTTCCTAGATAAGAAGGAATAACAAGGGAGAGACCTAGTCAAGGATAGTCTATTGTTTACCAGTCATGGTAAGGCAAGCAGAATCGGGTGGTGTAAGCAGGACGTTCCAAGATCAGTTGTGAGAACACCCGCAAAAGGGTGTGTGTGCAACCTACGTACATCACCCCACCTATACATGGACTGTGTGTAACCAATGGATATCACTGTACATGGATATATACCACACCGTTTTGTGCCAGGAGCTGGAGTCCATCAATTCGGCATACTGGGGTGACATGCACGTAGGACTTCCGCCTCAACCAAATTAACCTACATTACCTGCGGCTTGGCCAGCCCCAGAGGATGAGCAGTATGTGTGAATGTGTTCACGAAAGTGTGTGTTACAATTGGGTTGAAAATTAGACTAACTATTCAACTTAAGTTCAATTGCTTTTAACCTGCCTTTCAATTTTCTAATTACTATATATCGCTTTAAAAACTGCTCCTGAACAACTGCTGGCAATAAAACTTGTTAAAGGTACATTTGAGCTACTGTAGATCTTGGTTCTGTGACGCTGATTAAATGCCTGGCGTGCAACCTCATCAACCGTACAACAGCATCCTCTTGTGGCAGAGGGACACCAAGTGAATTGACTTGATATCCCACAAACGTGCCTAGTCACGGCTAAATTACATGGCTAACAACCTCCTCGTACTCCCGGCTCCTTACAGTACTTTGGAAGACGTGATCTTTTGCAATTTCTTTTTTATAAAGCCCTCTCCAGAATGACTGAGTTCACTCCCCATGCTGGAGTTCACTGGTCCAGGGAGCAAATGCCACATCTGTGGTTATAATGCCACGTCCATTAGAAAGACCCGGTTCTTTGATTTAGGCAGCTCAGAATTGCCACGTTTGATCCATTTTTCTACGTCTAGTTGGGATTATATTTTCCCATGTGCATTGCTTTGCATTTATCAGCTCTGTCCCTCTGTTGCCCAGTTATCCAGTTTGGTGAAGTCCCTTTGTGACTTTTTGTACCCTGTTTTGGACTTAACTATATTGAGCCATTTTGTAAAATCTGATAATGTTGCCACCTCACAATTTACCCCCTTGTCAAGACCAGGTAGAACTTTAACAGCACAGATCCAAATTCAAATCCCAGCAGCACAACCCTCCTTGCTACTCTTCTCCCTCCCCCTCTCTCAAGTACCGGCAATGTTTTTATGATCCTTCAGTGACTGGCATACCCAGCCTTTTCTTCTTTTTAATCACCTCCCTCTCTCCTTCGATAACAAACTCCCTGCCCAAAGGCAAAGCTGCAGGCAGCTCAGACTCTGTTACAGCTAAGAGCTGCCTCTGGAGCCAGGGCCTGCAGTTTCCAGCAGAACCCACAACCCTCCCCCAGTGGTGCCCTTGCCTGTTCCCCCCATGGCTCAGGGACAGTGGGAAGCCTGGTGCTGGCAGCAATACCC